CGCAGGGGTGTTAATCTCTTTCACTGAACACCTCATGGTAATAGGCATCGAAAGCACCGCCGAGAAAGAAGGGCTGCACCCAAACATATGTGCAGAGATTGCAAATCGTCGCTGCCCCTCCGGGCGCGAACAGTTTGGTACTGTCCACTGTATGCTGACTGTGCCTGCCCAGCTGCACATCCCTACACGTACCTTTTGGTCAAGCTTCTCCTCAACGAGCTTTCGTAGCGCTTCCAAAGTTTGTGCTGCGGGCCGCAAAAGGCCAGCGCGGCCTTTGCGGTGCAACTGCAGCAGCTGCGGCCCGAGATCGCCGAGGAACGGCAACCCGATGCACACATCTGCACACTGTGGTAAAACATCATATTGATCCGTTGCCGATCCCGCTAGACTCTAGACACGAAGATGGGTGAACAGATGCAGGTTGCACTGCGGATATGGGCTGTCAGAATCTGCCGGCCGTCGATCTTCGACCCTGAGCCCTGCAAAGCCATGGAAGCTGAGCTCCAAACGGGACACGATGGTTCCCTGAATCTCCGCTGTCAGATGTCTCAGCTTTCCGCATCTGCAACATTGTCAGGCAGATGAGCGGTGTGCCCGGCTGGAAGCTAGCAAGGGCCTCGAAATCCAGAGAACCTTGGTGCTTGTGAGGCTACAGAGAGCTTGAAGTCATGGGAAGGGACGGCCCAATTCAGGCACATCTGCTTGTCCGTTGGAGCTCTGCTCAAGCCCCAAAGCCTGACCTGCCCCCAGGCCTGGTGCAGAAGTCCAAGGACTCCAAATGCGCTGATGTCAGCCGATAGCAATCGTGATTCAATAGTGCATGACGCTGCTATCTCGCAGCAACTACTAAAGCTCCCGTTGCTGCTGCTGCTGCTACTCCTGCTTCTGCTTCTGCTGCTGCGGTGGCGGTTGCAATGACGACGTAGACTTGATACCTTTGTTCTGAAAGGCAAGAATTGCTGAATATAGTACATTTTGCAGTTTTCTGACTTTTGCTAGAATCACGAGTGTCCTTGCTCCATGACCATGAGCATTCGTCCTACCAGTACTAGGGGTTATCATGTTTCTTGATTGTCGCAACTATTGCGTACAAACACACATGTATGTATGGTCGGTAGGTAGGTAGGTAGGTAGGTAGGTAGGTAGGTAGGTAGGTAGGTAGGTAGGAAGGTATGTGGGTGTGTATGTGTATATGTATGTAAATGTCAATGTCCTTGTATATGTATGGGTACATGTAGGTGTGTAAAACTATACACATGTATGTGGATGTGTACGTATGTGTAACGGTTTAGGTATATCGTATATGTCCATGCGTATGTATATGTACATGCACATGTCCGTATTAATATGTGTAAATGATACACATGTTTATCCGACATACAACATACCTACATACATACATGCATGCATACATAGACACATAGATACGTGCATACACACACACACACACGCACGTATATATATATATATATGCATATCCTACATGCATACGTACATACTTGCACGGCTTGTCACTTCCTTTTGTGTGGGTGGGGTGCCTTGAAAGAATCAGGGGACACTTGAGGCCACATGTTGCGGCAGGCACGGGTTCATAGCGAAGTTGCCTTTGACCCTTCGTACATACCTGCGTACGTACGATATGCACACACACACACACATATGACGACCATTGCTATGGTTCCTGCTAGTATCCCTTTCGTTTCTAGTCCTTTGTTGTTCTTTGATTGGTCTTGCTCCTTTGCTATATTTATGGTTCGCATGCTCGTGCGATTAATGTTACTGCTGCTGCTGTTGGCGCTGGCTGCGGTAGTTGTTGTCATTGCTCAGTCCAGGACCTGGAGGACGAGCTGCTCCGAAAGCGGTCGCTGCAGCAGGTCTGGGCTCCCAGCACAAAGGCAGTTGGCACTGAAAGCTTTTCAGCAGGTATGTCAGGTATGCAGGGTTTCTGTCATCTTGGTGACCAGGATCTGGATTTGGTGACGGAGGCTCTGTGGGAGCAGCGGTCGATGGGCAAGTCGGTCGAGCAGGCGATGAGTCCGAAGGCGGCGCGAAGAGTCTGGTGGCCGTCAGGTTTAAATTTCCCAGTCGAAAGTATTTCATGCGCTTCAGTTGAGCACAGTCGTTCAGACTGGACCACATGTGAACCCCGATCCTGTTCGCGGAGTTCGGGCTACAGGTGCGACATTGCAGGATATTAATCTGTGGTCGGTTTCCGGCGCACATAATGCTTGCAAATCCGCATCCTGCCGCTGGTAAAAACTCCCCCCCCCCCNNNNCCCCCCCCCCCCCCCCCACAGGCAAGAGGTTTTGGAAACGCATGATACACATACCTAGACCTAGCAAGCACGTATAATCGACCAATCAAATAACTCAACCAGTCAGCCAGCAAGCCAGCAAGCCAGCAA